CATAACAAACCTGGTTAATTATACAATTGAAAGATGTCTGTGGGTGTCCAGTGGCTACTACTACTCCTACTGACCAAATAACCGACTTTTCACGCCTCCTGGTATTACATCTATGGCCAGACTTGTGGTTACCTTTAGCTCCACTCATCCCCTTGCCTACCAAATTCCATGGCACCCGCAACAACAGCATTGTGGTTGCCTCATTACAGAGGGGGAAATGCTCACGCTTTTCTGTGCATCTCCAGACTGCAACATGTTGCATTTTATGAATGAAGAAAATGTAATTTTACACTTGAATTGCGTGACTTGAAGCGGTCGGTTCTCATATTTCAAAGCTACGAGATGCAGCAATCCGTCAGGTAAATTGAAAAAGAAAAAAAAAAAGAGCATTGATAGGCAAATTAAGGGCTGACGGCCCGGTTTCACAATTGCAGCTCAAAGTGAGTGCACTTAAAGATATATAGTAACCTAATTTTAGTGACTAGAAAGGAAAATGAAAGAGTTATTAGCTTAGCATTTAAAATATGATCTTAATAAATATTACAAAAGAGTTTTAGGTAATACAAAAATCATCTAAAATTTGTTTCAAAAAATGGACAAGTATTTTTAATTTTATTTGTACAAGTGCATCTCTTGCAACAGCAAATGGCAGATGAACGGTACTGAAGAATGCCCGCCTTCGCCTCATTAGCGGCCATCCCAAAAGCCGATCCTTTCACCCAGGGGGGCAATGAACATTCACTTTCAATATAGCCAATGACATTCACTTGCAACTGGCATCAGGCAATTGATCAGTTATGTGTCTGTGGCGCTCATTAAATGTGTTTCCATTGCACTTTGGGGCCGCCACCGAAAGTCATTAACAGTTATGGAACCGCACCTGCCTCGGCCTCCATCCATCCATCCGTCCGCCGCTAAACCGAATCATTAGCCGATCTGGTCTGGCTCGATCTTGTTAAGACTTCTTGTTGTGCTCGTGATTTGTTCAACTGCATTTGCGATTGATTTCGGTTCGTGTCAGGTTGCACAAAAAATATATATGTATATAAACGCTGCAACATAGAAGCAAAGTTGTGGCAAGAATTCCAAATTATTCCGCAGCAGTTTGTCATATTTTCCCTGTTCGTTGCATTCGAAATCTGTCCAGTGCCTGTCGGTCGGAATGTCAAATAGTGATGGCAACGTGTGTTAGCCACAAAAATCTCAATTGAAAATATATTTTTCAGAAGCAGGAATTCAACAATTATGCGCTCCTTCACTTTTTGATAAAATTGTTTAGCTTTTTTGTTGCTAAAAATACGTTTTTGCCATACCTAAATCAATTATGTTGAACTAATAGAAAACGTAACAATTATATTGAATTGAAACAATAAAAAAATTGTATTATTTATGTTACATTCTAAAGGCAATATAATTGTTGTTTCTTAGCTTGCTAAAATTATTATGGAAGCTAAAAAACTCGTTTAAAAATATCTTATAAGTTTTATTAATTTATTTTTAATATTATAAAAAACTTTGAAGACTTCCTGCCGTGGTAGTTGGACTTGTTTAGGTTGAACTAATAAACTAATTTTATAAAGTGATTGTGACAATCGTCCAAGTTTGGTTTTCCCCACTTGGCCCACCTCGAATGAGCAGCTGCTGGTCTGATCTGGCATGGATCTAGCTCTACATCTAACTCTTGCTCTGGCTCTTAACTGTAGCCTGAATCAGGCAAACATTTAGCCATAAAATTCGGCCTGCTGCATGCTGGTTATGTGGCTCTAACTTGGCTTTAGACGCACTTGTTGCCATCTTGTCATGTCCCCGGCGGCAGCTGCTGATCCGAGCATCTCGCCCCGACGCGAAGGCCATCGATCGCCAGTCTCCGCACTTTTTGTCGGATCAAAAAACTTGCATATTGCTGGGTGATTTTAATTCCGATGCGACTGCAACCACGGCTAGTGAAAGTAGTTTTTTGTTCCCCTCATTTGGTGCTGCATTGGCTGACTTTGGATTGGGTAATAATTCGATGCGATAGCCGTGTAAGCCCATTACAAAATATGATGGCTCTATTCTTTAGGCAGAAAAAACATATTTATGGCCGAAAGATGGCAGATGGCTTTTGTTACCGTTTAAATAAACAGAGAAATTATGCCATAGATTAAGTCTGTTTTGTGGGGGGTTACATCATATTCACGACTAGTTCGAACTTTCGGCTGCAGCCCCAAAAAGTCTTTCACACTTTCCGATCGAGCTCGAGCTGGAGAGTTTTTCAGTCAGCAGCCAAGCGACACTCATTGTTCAATTTTCCAATTGTCGGCGATAAAACACACAATGACTTATCGGCCAAGTCAATCGTAAATGCTCCAAACAAGTTGCATGTGCTGTGTGGCTTGGCTTAAATGTTGGTAGTAATACGAGTATTAGCCAAAAGCCATCGAGAGGGGTTACCTTTCGTTGCAGTAGCAGTGATGGGAAAGGTACTACCAGCTGAAGAAGAAAAAATACTAGGGTGATACATGGATTAATTATAGTATTTCATAAGAAATGTATTATTTTGTATCGATTTATTTGGGGTACTTAACCCTCTAAGCCCCAAGCGAAGAAATATTAAAAAAAACGAAGTTGAATTATATTTTTTGGGGTAAATGGTAGCTTTTAATTTCAAAAATGACCTCAAAAAGTGTGTACTAATTGTAGTTTACCTGTAAATCGAACAGGTGTAAATAAGGTAAATCACTGCTGCAACGCACTATTTCTATAAAATTGCAAATATGCAACTTGATTTGTATTATATAATATCTTACCTTCTAGAACAATAATTTTTATTTGGCTGATTTTGAAGATATTTCACTTTTATTGATAGACAAAAAAACACTAAATGAAGCACACAAAAATTTTTGCGCGCGAATGCATGATGCATGTAAATAACACGAAAAAAGTCCCGTTATAAAGCTTAAGAGAGCTTTGAAACCTTCTACTCATAAGTTCACATGTTTATTGTGAATTGACTAGTGTAATTAAAAAATTTAAAAGGCTCCTCGTTTTTTAGATAATACAAATTATATAATAAGTGCCTTGAGGCACTCTTGGGTCTTAGAGGGTTAAGAAGTACCTATTTAAAAGCTTATATTGGACTGATATGGAGAGAAGTACCTATATATTTTAATAGTTTATTTCTGCTTAAATTACACATTTATTATTGGTTAAATAAATACAAAAAATTCTATATTACATCTTTTATCTGTACTACAAAAAAGTACCTAACATTTACCTTAGGTACACGTTTCTTTATAATTTTATTAAACTCAACTTGACAGATAATATAGTGAGACCTAACAATAATGCTTTAGTTATACATTTATTTCCTGATAAAATAAATAAAAACAAACCTATTTTGTACCTTGTATTTTTATTACAACACAGTACCTAAAATGTACCCCAGGTACAACTTACCTAATAATTCCCAACACTGAACTGAACCTCCAGTAAGCTGCTAGCTACTTCACTTTATTTTCCATCCAATCAACGCATTGCCATCGGTGCAACGTTCGTTTTATTTGTTGGCCGAAAAATGCCTTGGATATCTGCATTTTCACATCAACGCTTCACTTCGCCTAGCTCTTAGTTTTTGTTTATTTAATTAACTCTTGGGGGCCGTGGCCATTAAGTGTATACAAAAATAATTGTAAGCCGGGCTCAACCGGGATTTGAACCCGGGACCTCTCGCACCCAAAGCGAGAATCATACCCCTAGACCATTGAGCCGCCTGACGAGCATCTGGTCACCAGACGGTTTTGGCTCTTGCCTTTGCAGTTTGTTTTTTACTTTTTTTTGTTTTTGGGCTTTCGTGATGCTTTCGTCGATGCTTTTGCTGACGTTGATGCTGCTGCGCTACTGGTGCCTCTGCTGCTGCTGAAGTGTTTTGTTGGCCCACTCGGATGGGCCTTAGTCGTGTTTTAGCCTATTTATGGCATATGTGGCGCAAAGTATGCAACAGCCAACTGCTCAGTAAGTTACTTTTGGCGAGCGCCTAAGCTTGTGCTAAGGAAAGCTGATTTCTTTTAGCTGGAATTCAATGCAGTACGAAATAGCAAAATGAGGAGGTTAACTTAAGGTAGTTAGCTAAGGTTTGGAGTCTCCTGGAAAACAAAAGATAATTTAGAAAGGGCGAATCAAGCATATGAGGGTCATTTTTTCTTCAAATATTTTCCTGAATATTATCTAAGAAATATATAAATCGTTCTATACAGCCCGCAAATGGAAATAACTATACTGTGATTTGGTATACTAAATGTATCTTTGCTAAACTAAAAACAATTTTGATTATACAATTTGATTAAAATTGTATCTTTATAAATAAATTATATCATTTAATTCTGGAAATGCTTTTAAAAATTTGTTTTTAGTTTATGTGAACATTATGGCTGTTAATTAATAGAAGCCAAAACATCTGGCTAAATATTATATCGAAATTATCGTACCCTTTAATATATCGAATTTTCAGTCTCGACAAATATCGTAGTTAACGTTAAAAAATCGATATTAAAGAAAACAATTATTTGTTTTACTCTTGTGATACATGATACACCAAACAAAGCATCGATTTATCATACAAAAATGTTGTAAAATTTATTTCTCTCTCTAGAATCCGATATATTAAACAAAATATGGATTTATCATACAAATATCGATACAGTTTCGATATAACGAAATTTGTTTGCCATTTCTAATGAATATAATTCATTTAATATCTATATATACCCATAAAAAATACTGTGTTTTTCGCTTAAGAATAATTTTTATTTAAATTTTAATTGAAAAATTTCAAGTATGTACAAATCTTATTTGAATATTTTACAAAACCTTAATTCTTATTAAACTAATAGAAAATAAAAATAGGGGTTGCTTTTTAAAATAAAACTGGGGAAACTACTTATTGAAAATGCTATTTAATGTTGTTTATTAGATATATATACCGTAAATTACTATTATAATAGTTACCTCGAATTATTTTGCAGAATTTTATTAGTTAATTATCCCAGAAATAAATGCTACCCTGGGGATCTTTCAGAAGGGGCATTAAATTCTTTAAACTAAAGTTTGTACAAGAGCTAAAAGAACTTAATCTACAACTTATACATAAGTATTATAATGAACCGATTTGCATAATTATTTTCGATTAACTATTCCTTGCAATGGTGCTTCTTTCGCTGATTAAGTTGTCAGCTTGATGAGAACTATCCAATCTCTAATAAGAACTAAGCTACAAACTAATAGGCATCGGCAAACTTAGGCTACATGATACAGGAGGGTGGATCACTCGTGGTTCAGGTGAAAATGTCGTCGACCAGTTGCTTGGTGATGATGCGGTGAGGCCGGGTGGGATTAACCTTGGGCCGTTGATAGAGCCGGGCATTGATGGCATACAGCCGGGGCGAGAGATCGCAGCGGACGTTGAACCACCAGTCGCAGACGAAGACCGCCTGTGAGAATTGGGTGCCATTCGGGCAGAGGAACGAGGCCTGCCGTCCATCGATGTCGCAATAGTGCCAGCCTGCAGGGAAATAAATTCCAATAAATTAAATATATAACAAAATACTAGATCAAAGCGTTAAACTCACCCTGGCACCGGGTCTCCATGTCGGCAAAGAATCCCGGATACTCCTGCTCGTCGCAGTAAAAATTGGTGTAGGGCACGGCCGACAGAATGGGATAGTCAACGCCGGGGCGACCTGCAAATGATTTTGATTTTGTTATTGCAATTAGCAATGCTGTTTCCGCAAAATAAACCCAGCCTATAAAACCGAAACCAAAACAAAGTGCATGTCACGCCGTCGTCCGGTGGTTTCCAATCAATTTCACTTCATTCGAAACCTTACTTGAAAGAAACCTGCCGCAGAAAAAAATCCCCTGCTTTCCCTCCCAGTAGTGTCAACTGCAGGCGCTGCCCCCGGGGTCACCAAAATACAATAAAAAAAAGGAAACTGGGGAGAATCCAAAATAAACGCGACATAAACAAATCCCCGGACACACCCGGATCCACAGTCTCTGGCCTCTCTGGCACTAATAAATGAATTTACGAGTAGATGCACTTCTGTGCCAAATATTCATTCCGTTTGCCGAAAAAATAATTTAAAATCGTGCACTTTTTTCGGGCCTGTGGTTGATGGCCCGAAATGCATTTTCACAGCCCCATCTTCAGCTTCGTTGCCTGGAAAAGCCCGAAAAAATACATATATTTTGGCAATGGCGGATGCCCCCTCAATACCCTCATTCAGAGGAGACTTTTTTATCATCGAGGTTTGTGGCATACTTAATGATGCTGCCTGAATTTCAATTGGCATGTCAATTGCATCAACAAATGCTAACAAGACAGAAGCTTTTAGTAAGGAAATTGTAAACAATATTGTAATAACAATTTCAATATTTAAAACAAAGCTTATTTTATAAATTTTGTGTTATATTTATGCAGTAATTAACTAGGGATTGCACTCCAAAATGGTCACGAACACATTCCCTAATATATATAAAGTTTCTTAATCCCCTTAAAACATCCACATTAAGATATCTTACCAGGAATAGATTTGCCCAACTCGAGATACTCCCGCACCGAGGGACTGAGAAAGTTTTCGGGTATCTCCGGCAGATCCTTCTCCTGGCTGCTGCTCTCATCGTTCTCCAAATCCTGTTGCGGCTCTGGTTCAAAGTTGACCGGTTCCGGGGCGCGTGGGCGCTTAGCTCGCTTTGAGCGAACCGTTTCGCGGCAATCTGCAAGCAAATAGAAAATAAATGGAAAATAATTACTCGAATTGGCCAAACCTTAAAAACTGCAAAGTTCAAGGTTTCCGCGAGGGGAAATACATTAAAGTCTGGGCACTATAGTTCATGGCGGTGCCGAACCGTTGGCTTTAATGTCAAGATACAAATCGGATTAGACCGCCACTCCCTAACCCAGTTAATGAGTCGGTAGCCGAGTTAACTTTAACCTCAGATGTGTCTGACCCGCTTCTAAGACTTGCTGGTGGCGTCGCAAACAATTGTGCAACATTTGTTCTCTTACACTTGGAAAAATTAATGGTAGCTTTATACAAAATTTTAAAAATGTTGTAGGTTTTTTATTTATTTTGTAATATTTTTTAAATTTATGAGAAACCAAGTTGAACCTTAATCATAAACAAGTAGTAAAGTAACCTATTAAATATAAATTACTTCCTAACATTGGGTGTTGCTCAACATTTCCTTAGCAACATTTGTCTTTATTTGGAAGTTGCGCAATATGTTCCTAGCTTTTAGCAACATTTTCTTCTGTCTTTTTGTTTAATTCAAGTTTTTAATAAATTTTAAAAGTTTTTTTATTTCTTATCTGATTATTTTGTTTTATTTAGATTTCTTTATCTGCAGTCGTTTGTTTTTTTTGTGTAGATTTTGTTAATGCTGCTTCTGATGACAAGTTTCGTGCGGTTGCCATATTTTGCGACTGACCTTGCCGCTTCTTTGGCAGTGGGAAAAAATATATGTATATATTCGCCTGCAGAACTTTGCGGTAATTGCTCAATATTAATTTGCATTCATTTTTTGTTAGTTTTCTTGTTTTTCCTCTGCCTTTGCATAAGTTGGTTATGCGGCTCATTAGCTTGATTTGTTGTTGTACATAAGCTTGATTCATTTGCGTCTGTGATTCTGCTCTGCTTCCTTCCCAGCCCCAACAGTAATTTGAAGTTGCCTTGGAAGTTGCTTATTTTGCACCCAGTAATCATTGAAAACGAGGGCATATGGTGTATATTTTTTTGTGTAAGTAAATAACAAAGTATAAGATTTGGTCGTTTTTTGAGATATAAAGGAAAGGTTCTTTGAACATTAAATTAAGGATTTTTCAAGAAATGAAATTATTTAAAAAAAATGGGTAACTCCTTGCCTACTAATATTTTACATAACACTTTCAAGTGAACCTCTTGAGTTTATTTATTTACATTTTGCATGCCTTTCTGCTGTTGCTGCAACTGGAAGCAGACAAACAAACTTGTTCTTAATTTTAAATTCTACATTTCACGCGTAATTTATTCAGATCGCTGGCAGTTGTCGCTGCTTTTGCCTGTTGTAATTGACCTTAACCTTGTTCCGCAGTTGTCGGTTTTCAGTGTTCACTTTTTGTCTTTTTTTTTTTAAATGTATCTCAGTTCAGTTCTCAGTTTGTTTGCCGGCGATTTCGGTTGTGTAATTGAGTTGAATGTTTGTGTGGGGCCCCCTCTGGCCATAGGCACAACCTGGCCAATGATCAGTCTGGCGATTCCGAGTGTGGGCCTAGTCGTTAGACTATCGACAAGGGAAGGCGAACTCAACACAGTGCAGCTGCAACCGTTTATATCGAGAGTTGCGATGAGTAATCGCATCTAACGATCCATCTACGATTTTAATTGAAACTTCCGAGGAGATAACGAATCAATGTCGTCTCTATTTGGAGTGAGAGGTGTTGTGGCAGGTCGAGATGTGGTTGAGTTTTGGTGAGCATCACCAGGCGAGTCGAGTTAGCCATTCGATTTTAGAGAAAACAAGAGCTAGGGCTACCAAATTTGGCCATAAAATGTTTTAGATAAAGTTGTTTTTATAAATTAACAACTGTAGCTTTCTCCTTATGTGTTATAGTTTCTTCCAGACAATTTTTCTTAAAAAACAAAAGGTATTAAAACCCTCTTAAATCTTGTTGCTTCACCTGCAACCCTTCCTCTAAAAGCCCAACCCAAAATTGGTAGCATAAACCATAAAAGCATTTATATATTCAATTCAGCAAGCGGCGGTCATTAGTTAGCCACAGGTTAGCTAATTATTTAGCTCGAACAAATTAACTGTGCAAACACAGAGTGAACACGCCTCGAAAAGCAGAAACCAATTAGGCTGGATTTTGGCCAGCCGCCGCCTCTCCCACGCAGCAAACAACCGATTGGCCGAGTGCAGAAAGCATAAAATTAAAAATGAAATTATTAGGCACATGCATAAGTAGTTGGGGGGACGCCGACAAAATTGCAAAATTATATTTCGCAAAAATGCCAGCGAAATTTATTACAATTGCAAATAATTACTGCGAAAAAGAAAAACAATCAAATTGTAATTAGGCTGGCGCGAGAGCTCGCAACCTCTGAGGTGCAATTGCGGCGGCGACAAATTGTAAAAACTGCTCGGTTATTCACACATGCACATGTCCCACGTCCGAGCATAAATCTCGATATCTATATCTACTGTAGCCAAGTCCATTAGCCACGCATTTGTTGTGAGGGGAGGCCTTATGTCAAAGAGTTTTGTGCGTGAGAAAAAAAGGAAAACAGAGTGTAAATTGGTAAATAAATAACATTTTTTGGATGCCCTTCCAATCGTTGAAAACTATTTATTAAAAAATATAGTTGTATATTTGTATATCACACGTAAAAACAGACAATTTAGAATATCCTTGGACTCATAAATATTTTTACAATCATATTTGATTAATTTGTTCGCCCTCATTTATTATTTTAAATATTTAAACCATTTCTAAAATAAATACTAAAATATGTAATACTTGAAATTGACATTTATTATATATTTTATATATTTATAAAGTATTTATATACAGGGCAGACGTCTCTAAAGATTTAAAAAACCTCAAAAATAGGGCTGTAAAATTATAAATTGTTTTGAAAATACCATAAATATCTGAGATATTCGGAATATATTTATTTGGAAGCTTTTACAGATAATAGAATAAAATTCACTTGAATTAGTAATTGAAAAAATATCTTAAATCCACTTTTAAGGTATTTATTAACCCAACTTTCTGTAAGAACTCCTCTGTTAACTAATTGCCTAATTTGCATAACTAATCTGAGAACAAATGAGAATGCCCTCTGCAAGGGTATTAAAAATGCCCATAAAAAGATTCGATTTTTTTGTGTTTTTGGCCCAACGGATGGGGAGTGCGTCGTGCTCGTCGTCGTCTGGGGGCACACCCCTTTGCCACGTCAGGCGCTGTAGCTGACTGTGCGCACTGTGGGTTACCTAACCCAAAACCGATCCAAACGGACGTTGGAGCACACTCCTCCGGATCCCCTGGCCGGCCCGGACCGGCATCCTTCATGTGTTGCTCCATCCAATCTGATGATTTGGCTCGCTTTGGTTGGGTTCGTTTCGGTTTGTTCGGTGGCTTGTCGTCGCCCCTGTGATTGGGTTTTGTTTTTCGGTTTGGTTTTGTTTCAGTGCGGTGCAGTCGCATAATTAAAGTAATTGCCTTTCGTTGTGTGCGCGAAATTGAGTCAGTCGTCAGCAGCTGGGGCAAAATTAAATAGCAACAGACCAGGCCAGGCCAGACCCACTGCACAACGCATTTCACAATTGTAATTGTTGTGTGTGCTTGGTTTTGCGTTGAATTTGGCACCTTTTTCAGCAGTCCCCACACCGCCGATTGATAATAATCCCCTTGTTCCCTGGCCAAATAAATCAAATTGCCACGAAACTTTTATCAGAGTGGGCACATCTCTCACTTTTGGGCCGGTCGTCTAATGATTAAGCCCAGGGAATACGGATTCCGAACAGGGACTCTCTATTTATTTGGTGGTTTACTGGTGCTGCTGAAGTTCGTTTGCATTAAACTGTTTTGTGACTTCGACTTTTATCTAACTGGGATTATTAATGTTTTCTCTGTTATTGTTGAGGTTCGAGTTGGGGAAAACTCAATTGGTTAAATGACGGAAATTGTTTTAGCATCTTAATTAGGCTTTGTCCTTTTCACTTCCAATTAAAATCAGATATTTTCTGATTTATTCACAGTTGTTTGGGTAAAGTTATAGCAAGTTCCTGAGGGGATTTAAGCAATTCAAGTCCTTGTAAATACATTTTTTTAAGCCCTTGAATTATGAAGAATATCTGGCATAAATTTGCCGCTTAATGTCAACCATTAAGAGCCAACCGTACGCATTCTTCTTGGCCATAATCGGTTAAAGGGTTCAAAAAGCCAAGCCGGGAAGTGCCAAGTTGTATAAAGACTGAATAAATCATTGGTAAAATACAGAAAAACAAAAACAAAAAACAAAGGAGAAAGACGAATTCATGGCATATCCTTCCATGTCATGGAAAGCGGCTAGCGCGAGGAGGCAAAAAAAAAAAAACATTCAGGACAACATGCATTAACGAGGATAATTCAGTTGCCATGATGAACATCAACGGCGGACCCATGCCAGGCCGTCGTCGTCGTCGTTGTCCTTGTTGTTGTCGCCCGTAAAGCGGCGCAAAATAAATTAAGCTCATTATATAATTGAATCCTTGATAGGCTGATTATCCACACGGCTTGCCTGGCCATCGATGGGTTGGTCCGCACCATTCACCTCCTGCCAGGTGCCCACCCGCTTATTAAAAGGATAACGCCCAGTCAAGCGCAAAGGATGCGAAATGGCCAAACGCAAAAATTATGTAAATGAATTTCCTGTTGCATGCGTCGATGCGGTGGTGATGGGTGGTGCCATCGGCCCGGCACAGCGACATTTCCATAAATCTGCCAGGTGGTGGCGATACTGCCACAGTCAAATTGAGCATGGTTAGCCTTAAAAAATTATCAATAAATATAAGGTTATTTCTTATGGCCATGTTCTTTAAGAGACTTTAAATATATATTCTAATGGTAATAACAATATATTAAAGAAACGAGGTTATAAAATGCAAAAACTGAAGCTACAAAATGTATTCAAAAGCCCCCCCGATATATCCCATCGTTTGTACAGATTACTGTCGGCCATAATCAATGCAATTGCCATCTTTAAGGCCTACGACGAGAAAAAATTGTCGCGGGCTCCACCTTAAAAAATGGGGACAAAAAGCTGAGCTAAAATTGTTTTTTATGCCTGCCGCTCGATCGCCAGTCTTCGTATATTTTAACGGCAGCCTCATGCAGTCACGATTTGTTACACACACTCGGGCAAATACATATAAATCTAGATGTGTGTAGTCACAGGCCTCCTTAATCTATTGACTAAATGCATTGCATAAACCGTCAGTCGGTCGGTTTGTTGGTTGGTTGGTTAGTCCGTCGGCTGGCTGGCCAAACCTCTGAGCAGAGAGACCTAAAACAATGCCACAAAACGAACGAGTTCAGTTTCGCCGGCAGTTCGGCAGTTTTCGTGCAGCAACAACAGCAGCAGCGCTTTCAATGGCCGCAAATAGCTCAAAGGCGCTTTGTCTAGCCAGTATCAAAAATCCACCTCCATCTGAAGCCCCACTCCTGCCTGCCTGCCACCTGGAAATCCCCACTCCCTGTTGCATGGTTAAATTATGAACGCAACCAAAAAAAAACAACGAAAAAGTAAAATCTATACGCTTGGCTATGCCCAAAACCCCAACTAGTTTTATTCGCCGGCACAAAGAACTTTCGGTTCGGTTCAAGTTGCCAAATAAAATTTAATACGAAAAATACAGTTAGAACCGCTCTCGTTGTTGTCTCCTGATTTTAATCTCTTGGCCATAAGACACCCACCAATTTTCAGTTAACTGCAACTGCTTGGCTTAATGCTTAGTTTGGGCACAGGAAGAAATTAACCTGGTTTTCTAGAGATTTTTAATAACAGAAACGTACATTTGGATTTTTCATTTAAAAACAAAATGGAGTGGCGTAAATATTTATTAAGATTTTGGTAGTAATTTAAATTTAAAAAGATTGTTTGCCAAATATTTATTGCTTAAAAACATAATTGATATTAGTATTTTTATGCAATTCCTATTCATTTTATTCTCGAAAATTAAGCCTTTTGCTAGATATTTTCTTTTGTAATTTTTATCATAATATTCAAGTAAACTTTTAGGAGTTTTCATAGACAAATAAGTATATTTATTTCTCTGTACCAATACATAAATGAGCCAATAACTGCTTGGGGCTAGGATTCCATAGGAGGTGGCGGTGGTCTCAGATTGCAGCGCAAATATACAAAACACAAACTCCTTGGATACGATTAATTTGTAAACTTCTTACATAAGTTTTCGGCTTGTTGAGCTGCTGTTGGTTGGCTCATTACAACGAAAAATTTGCATTCGGGTGTGGGCGGCGTTAGGAATTTGGCTCGAGGAAGGGTTTTTAAGTTACTGAAAGGCAGTTATATGATCAATATTTTTGGGGAAATCATAGGGTTACTTTGCGGTTATGGTTTATGGATTATTACTTTGGTTCGCTTATGTGCATGTAGACCTCTGAATAAAAAACCTCAAGGCTTGGCCAAATCAGTGAAGTAATAAATAAGATTTATTTAAGAAATCATATATTCTAAAGCAGAAATTGTATGTTGTTTCTATGCTTATCTTCTTATTATGTTATAGAGTTTTAAAAACATTGTAATGATTCCTCCAAAATCCCTTATTATTTTTTCGTTTGTTCCAACTGAATTTCACCTGATTTAAGCCATTAAAAATATATGTATTATCAACCAACCAGCACCCAAAAGACCTGATCATCGTTGTCTGCTACAAAATCAGTTTAATAATAAGCTTTTATATGTAATTATGAATTTTTTCCACGTTAATTGCATTGAAAGTCGTCGACTGATTCCCACAGTTTCCCACCGCTCAAATATTTCACATTATATATATTTCCTGGGCAAACAAGGAGAGGACAGTTTTTCATTTCGCATATATCTCATAAATATAAATGACTGCATTTTTCCGCAATTTGTCGCACACAAAACAAATTTAATTTTAATTGAAAACAAGAAAGGAAGCTAACTTCGGCACGCCGAAGTTTGTATACCCTTGCAGATATCATTTCATTACATTTTACCTATACTTATTATGTTTACAGTTTGACAGTTACAGTTTTACATTCCCAGCCTTACATTTTCTCTACATCTATCGATCGTTTCTATGGCAGCTATATGATATAGTTGTCCGATTTTTATGAAATTTATACCAAAATTCTAAAATAATAAAATAAGCTTATATCTCAAAGTAGATGAAAATACGTTGAAAAACAACGAAGTTATCATTTTTTTTCCTATTAATTTCCCGATCGTTCCTATGGCAGCTATAAGATATAGTCGTCCGATTTTCGTGAAATTTTTACCAAAATTCAGAAATAAAATAAAATGGCCATATCTAAAAAATGGTGCAAAAATGTTAAAAAACATCCAAGTTATAATTTTTTTCTAAAAATTTATCGATCATTTGTATGGCAGCTATATGATATAGTCGTCCGATCCGGCCCGTTCCGACATATATAGCAGTGAGAGTATATAGAAGACTATGTGCAAAGTTTCATTCAGATAGCTTTAAAACTGAGGGACTAGTTTGCGTAGAAACGGACAGGTGGACAGACGGACAGACGGACAGACGGACATGGCTAGATCGACTCGGCTGTTGATGCTGATCAAGAATATATATACTTTATAGGGTCGGAAACGTCTCCTTCACTGCGTTGCAAACTTCTGACTGAAATTATAATACCCTGCAAGGG